GAAATCCAGGAGCTTCTGAGCTTCCCCATGGACCCTCTACCAGGGCAACCGTAATTTCGCCTCCCGTTCATAAAATCCTGGCTTAGGACTATTGAAATGTTAAGTAACGCCTTATACCCTAGAATTTGGAAATTCTCGTTATTAGTCTACTGCAGAAGCTGTTAAGATCCATCCAATCATTTTAATATACCATAGACAATTAATGGAGATAATTCGGCATAAAAAATGTCAAACCCTGACACTTTATATACATGTATAATTATAAAATATACATGCTCCAAGTCAGGAACCGTTCATGCACAAGAATTGCGGACAGCTCAGCTGGATGGCTTTATCAGCTACCACACAGAGAACCGTAATTATTGAAATTTTTTTAACGTTATTGTCTATGGGGAATTATGACCACTAGCTAAATAAACGAAAACTATGTCTATTTTATAAATCTCATATAAAATTAATAAATCATAAAGATCTCACCAATTTTTTAGCTTTGAAATGGTGTGCTAAAATCCACTTTATCTTGATATTTACTGTTGTCCCTATCATGTTGAACGTCCGGTTCTCTTATGTTTGAGATGTGTCAAATTACGAGGTATACATATTTTATAAAAAAATCATATTAAATTCATTTTCTATTGTAAATCAAATTAACAAATTATACAGTATTGGCAAATAATTTTCCTATCAAATGGTATAAGAATCGTCATCTTAAAATAATGTTTACTGTTGTCCCGAAGCATTTGAAAGTGAAACTTCATTATTTATGAATACGACGTATATTCATTCAACTAAGATTGACCGTATTCAAAGACAAATTGGTCTTGTTATTTAGTTGAATTCTCATTTTTATGATGTGAACTTCTTTTCTAATTACATCTATCATTTTAAATATCTAGTTAGGTTTTAAAAAATATATTAATTTCTGTTACTAATATACCAAAGAATTTTTTTAAACATCAAAATTTTAAAAGTAGTGTGGTTTTGTTGACATCTTGAAGAAAAATATGCAAAAAGTTTTTTTTTCTTTTTTTTTAAACCTCTGTCTAATTAATCTTATTTTGATTTGAGTAATTATATTATTATTATCAAATATTTGAATACACAATATATGCATGATTGTACTATTGAAAAAAAAAATGTCTACGAAATCTGAAAAAAGTAAATTGAAATAGAAAAGAGATGGCAACGTGCAATTTTTGTCGAGCCTGCGACTTTTGTCGCAGAAAGCTCGACATAGGGATAGTGATCCGGCGGCGGCGGCGGCGGCGGCTATGGCGGCGGCTGCGTTAGCTAACTTCTTAAAAGCTTTATATTTTAGAGGGTGGAAGACCTGGATGCTTCATACTTTGTATATGGATGCCTCATGTTACGAAGTTTCAGTCAGTCACATGTCCAATGTCCTTGACCTCATTTTCATGGTTCAGTGACTACTTGAAAAAAAAGTTAAGATTTTTTGTAATGTTAAATTCTCTCTTATTATAAGTAATAGGATAACTATATTTGGTATGGGCGTACCTTGCAAGGTCCTCATGCCCGTCAGACAGTTTTCACTTGACCTCGACCTCATTTCATGGATCAGTGAACAAGGTTAAGTTTTCGTGGTCAAGTCCATATCTCAGATACTATAAGCAATAGGTCTAGTATATTCGGTGTATGGAAGGACTGTAAGGTGTACATGTCCAACTGGCAGGTGTCATCTGATCTTGACCTCATTTTCATGGTTCAGTGGTTATAGTTGAGTTTTTGTGTTTTGGTCTGTTTTTCTTATACTGTATGCAATAGGTCTACTATATTTGGTGTATGGAAGGATTGTAAGGTGTACATGTCTAGCTGGCAGGTGTCATCTGACCTTGACCTCATTTTCATGGTTCAGTGGTTATAGTTGAGTTTTTGTGTTTTGGTCTGTTTTTCTTATACTGTATGCAATAGGTCTACTATATTTGTTGTATGGAAGGATTGTAAGGTGTACATGTCTAGCTGGCAGGTGTCATCTGACCTTGACCTCATTTTCATGGTTCAGTGGTTATAGTTGAGTTTTTGTGTTTTGGTCTGTTTTTCTTATACTGTATGTAATAGGTCTACTATATTTGGTGTATGGAAGGATTGTAAGGTGTACATGTCTAGCTGTCAGGTGTCATCTGACCTTGACCTCATTTTCATGGTTCAGTGGTTATAGTTGAGTTTTTGTGTTTTGGTCTGTTTTTCTTATACTGTATGCAATAGGTCTACAATATTTGGTGTATCGAAGGATTGTAAGGTGTACATGTCTAGCTGGCAGGTGTCATCTGACCTTGACCTCATTTTCATGGTTCAGTGGTTATAGTTGAGTTTTTGTGTTTTGGTCTGTTTTTCTTATACTGTATGCAATAGGTCAACAATATTTGGTGTATGGAATGATTGTAAGGTGTACATGTCTAGCTGGCAGGTGTCATCTGACCTTGACCTCATTTTCATGGTTCAGTGGTCAAAGTTAAGTTTTTGAGTTTTGGTCTTTTTTTCTAATACTGCATGCAATAGGTCTACTATATTTGGTGTATGGAATGATTGTAAGGTGTACATGTCTAGCTGGCAGGTGTCATCTGACCTTGACCTCATTTTCATGGTTCAGTGGTCAAAGTTAAGTTTTTGAGATTTGATCTTTTTTTCTAATACTATATGCAATAGTTCAACTACATTTGGTGTATGGAAATATTTTATGATCTATATGTCAGTCACACAGTTTTTATTTGACCTTGACCTCATTTTCAAGGTTCATTGCTCAGTGTTAAGTTTTTGTGTTTTGGACTGTTTTTCTTAAACTATAAGCAATAGGTCAACCATATTTGTTGTATGGAAGAATTGTTAGCTGTACATGCCTGCCCAGCATGGTTCATCTGACCTTGACCTCATTTTCATGGTTCATTGGTCAATGTTTAGTTTACTTGGTTAATGTTAAATTTATGTGACAGTTGTAATAAAGCTTTATATTTAGGACTATCAACATAATATCAATGATTAGTAAAGAAGGCGAGACATTTCAGCGTGTGCACTCTTGTTAATGTTATTCAAAACATACAAAATTTTATACAAGTTTTTTATAATGAAAAGGTAGCCCATTTAATTACTTTTAGGGAATATTATTCTTATCATTATAAGAAATGATCAAAGAAGTAAATGCAAGTATTATTAGTGACATTAGTGCATTTCACAATTATTTTCTGTTTTTTAGCAAAAAAAAGGTCCAAAATTTTTTTCGCCTCGCTCCACTCAGCAAAAGATTTGATTCTACGCCCCCTCTTTCAAATATCCTAGAAACGCCCCTGGTATCTGTAAAAAAAAATAATCGTTTTTACTGGTAAAATTGGCTTCCCCTTACCTAGAGGCGGCAAAATAGCCATTGGCCTGTGAGAAGACGAAATAAATACAGTTGACATACTTGGAAGGCATGTTACGAATGACTCCGACAATAGAAATAGATGTGTAATACACCATTTTGTAAATAATTTAATGTAGATTTACGAGAAAGCCAACTGCAAAATCGAAATATAACGGATGTTCGCGGCCGGTTGAAATTTCTCAAATATAGGAGTTAGGTACCTTGTGTTTTATATATATATAGGTAAACATTTTTCAGAGACAATTAAATTATATAGGTAAATTGTTTTTTGCGACAAGTGCCTGTGTAATGTTGGCATGACGTTCTTAAATGTGGAGATGTGAAAATAGGTGAATAAATAATTATTGTTACTTCCGAGACTAATAACCAACATACGGAAATTGCAGGTAGCAATTATATCATTTTTTATACGACCGCAAAAATTGAAAATTTTTTGGTCTTATATTGGTATGACGTTGGCGTCGTCGTTGTCGTCGTCGTCGTCGTCTGGCGTCGTCCGGCGTCGTCCGAAGACACATTGGTTTTCGCACTCTAACTTTAGTTTAAGTGAATGGATCTCCATGAAATGTTACCATAAGGTTCAATACCACGAAAAGAAGGTGGGGATTGATTTTGGGGGTTATGGTACCAACAGTTAAGGAATTAGGGGCCAAAAAGGGGCCAAAAATAAGCATTTTTGTAACTTCCAGACAATAACTTGTGTGTAAGTGTATGGATCTCTCTGACATTGTACCACAAGGTTCCATATCACAAAAGGAATGCTGGGATTGATTTTGGGGGTAATTGCCTCAAAATTTTAGGAATTACGGGACAAAAAAGGGGCAAAAAACAAGCATTTTTCTAGTTTCATGACAATAACTTGTGTGTAAGTGTTTGGATATTTCTGAAATTGTACTACAAGGTTCCATATCACAAAGGGAAAGCTGGAATTGAGTTTGGGGGTAATTGCACGAAACGTTTAGGAATTGGGGGTCAAAAAGGGGCCAAAAATAAGCATTTTTCTAGTTTCCAGACAATAACTTGTGTTCAAGTGTATGGATCTCTCTGAAATTGTACTGCAAGGTACCATACCACAAAGGGAAGGCTGGGATTGAGTTTGGGGGTGATGAATCATAAGGGGGTTCAAAAAATTTTTGGGGGAATTTTTTTTTTCTTTTTTTTTTCTTTTTTTCCTTTTTTTTTTTTTTTTAAATTTTCCATTTTAAGTTGGTTATTTCTGATTAATATTTAAAAGCAAATAATAATGATATGGTAGGAGATACACACCAAACAGGATGTGTAAATTATTATATAATAAGTATTGTGCAATAGCAAGAAATTTTCAATTGCACAGTATTGCACAATTGCAAGAAATCTTCAATTGCACAGTATTGCGCAATAGCAAGAAATCTTCAATTGCACAGTATTGCGCAATAGCAAGAAATATCCAATAGCACAATATTGCGCAATAGCAAGAAATTGTCAATTGTACAGTATTGCACAATAGCAAGAAATATTCAATTGCACAGTATTGTGCAAAAGAAGATACTTCGTATAAATTGCTTATTTCTTGATCAATTTCAATGGGGTTTTATTCTTGAATTCTTGGGGTTCTTTAATATGCTGAATCTAACCGTGTATTAAGTTTTTGGATTTTGGGCCCCGTTTTTAAATTGGTCCACATTGAGGTCCAAGGGGTCCAAAATTTAACTTTGTTTGATTTTATCAAAAATTGAATTATTGGGGTTCTTTGATATGCCGAATCTAACCGTGTATTTAGATTCTTAATTTTTGGTTCCGTTTTCAAATTGGTCTACATTAAGGTCAAAAGGGTCCAAAATTAAACTTAGTTTGATTTTAACAAAAATTGAATTTTTAGGGTACTTTGATATGCTGAATCTAAACATGTATTTAGATTTTTGATTATGGGCCCAGTTTTCAAGTTGGTCCAAATCGGGGTCCAAAATTAAACTTTGTTTGATTTCAACAAAAATTGAATATATGGGGTTCTTTGATATGCTGAATCTAACCATGTATTTAGATTTTTGATTTTTGGGCCCCGTTATCAACTTTGTCCACATTGAGGTCAAAAGGGTCCAAAATTAAACTTTGTTTGATTTCATCAAAAATTGAATTCTTGGGGTTCTTTGATTTGCTGAATCTAACCATGTATTTAGATTTTTTATTTGTGGACCCGCTATCAAATTGGTTCATATTGAGGTCAAAAGGGTCCAAAATTAAACTTTGTTTTATTTCATCAAAAATAGAATTATTGGGATTCTTTGATATGCCAAATCTAACCGTGTATTTAGATTTTTAATTTTGGGTCCCGTTTTTAAATTGGTCTACATTAAGGTCCAAAGGGTACAAAATTAAACTTAGTTTGATTTTAACAAAAATTGAATTCTTGGGGTTCTTTGATATGCTAAATCTAAACATGTGTTTAGATTTTTTATTATGGGCCCAGTTTTCAAGTTGGTCCAAGTTGAGGTCCAAAATTAAACTTTTTTTGATTTCAACAAAAATTGAATTCTTGGGGTTCTTTGATATGCTAAATCTAAACATGTGTTTAGATTTTTTATTATGGGCCCAGTTTTCAAGTTGGTCCAAGTTGGGGTCCAAAATTAAACTTTTTTTGATTTCAACAAAAATTGAATATATGGGGTTCTTTGATATGCTGAATCTAAACATGTATTTAGATTTTAGATTTTTGGCCCAGTTTTCAAGTTGGTCCAAATTGGGGTCCAAAATTAAACTTTGTTTGATTTCAACAAAAATTGAATATATGGGGTTCTTTGATATGCTGAAATTTACCATGTATTTAGATTTTTTATTTGTGGGCCCGCTATCAAATTGGTTCATATTGAGGTCAAAAGGGTCCAAAATTAAACTTTGTTTGATTTCATCAAAAATTCAATTATTGGGGTTCTTTGATATGCCAAATCTAACCGTGTATTTAGATTTTTAATTTTGGGTCCCGTTTTTTAAATTGGTCTACATTAAGGTCCAAAGGGTCCAAAATTAAACTTAGTTTGATTTTAACAAAAATTGAATTTTTGGGGTTCTTTGATATGCTGAATCTAAACATGTGTTTAGATTTTTTATTATGGGACCAGTTTTCAAGTTGGTCCAAGTTGGGGTCCAAAATTAAACTTTGTTTGATTTCAACAAAAATTGAATATATGGGGTTCTTTGATATGCTGAATCTAAACATGTATTTAGATTTTAGATTTTTGGCCCAGTTTTCAAGTTGGTCCAAATTGGGGTCCAAAATTAAACTTTGTTTGATTTCAACAAAAATTGAATATATGGGGTTCTTTGATATGCTGAATCTTACCATGTATTTAGATTTTTTATTTTGTGGGCCCGCTATCAAATTGGTTCATATTGAGGTCAAAAGGGTCCAAAATTAAACTTTGTTTGATTTCATCAAAAATTGAATTATTGGGGTTCTTTGATATGCCAAATCTAACTGTGTTTTTAGATTTTTAATTTTGGGTCCCGTTTTTTAAATTGGTCTACATTAAGGTCCAAGGGGTCCAAAATTAAACTTAGTTTGATTTTAACAAAAATTGAATTCTTGGGGTACTTTGATATGCTGAATCTAAACATGTGTTTAGATTTTTGATTATGGGACCAGTTTTCAAGTTTGTTCAAGTTGGGGTCCAAAATGAAACTTTGTTTGATTTCAACAAAAATTGAATATATGGGGTTCTTTGATATGCTGAATCTAACCATGTATTTTGATTTTGGACATTGGACCATAATAGGTAAATTAAAAAAATTGAAGTTCTTAGACCACATTCTTTCTGTGTCAGAACCTATGCTGTGTCAAATATTTAATGACAATCCAAATTCAGAGCTGTATCAAGCTTGAATGTTGTGTCCATACTTGCCCCAACTGTTCAGGGTTCGACCTCTGCGGTCGTATCAAGCTGCGCCCAGCGAAGCATTTTATTTATTGTTACCTGCAGTTATTCTTACCAACAATAACAATATTTTGATATATTCAGACAGGAATTGGTTAATTTGCGAACAATCTGTGAAATTAATTTAGCAATTACATTATCAAACTTCCAGATGTATTGACCAATATGACGTCCAATTTTGCCAACGGGGATCGACTAGAACAACTCACAATTCTTAAGTATAAATACGAATGAGCAAGACGTCCAATTTGTGGTTGTGAAAATTGTATACATCCTTTCAAAATTTTAATGCTAAACTTTAACGGTTCCAAGATGCAAATTTGTGCGGTTATATCGAAGAAGGGTATAGCAGAATAGAACAGTTACTGTTTAGTATGCGATATAGACGTGCATATATATATATGGATTTATAGTTTTTGACAGGTGTCTGAAGTGGTATCACCTGAAATGTGTTGGCTCAAAATGCTACCTATAAAGGTAACATCCTGATTGTGCAGGAAGTGCCATCAAAATGAATAGCTAAAAGAATTCTAAAAATGTATAAACGCGCTTTCAATTTATCATTGCTATGTTCAATGAATAATTTTCTATTCGTATAAAAGATGTTCAAATATGTAAAAAGGTAAATAACAAAAATACCGAACTCCAAGGAAAATTTAAAACGGAAAGTCCCGCTTACCAAATGGCAAAATCAAAAGCTCAAACACATCAAACGAATGGAAAACAACTGTCATGTTCCTGACTTGGTACAGGCATTTCCTTATGTAAAAAAAAAGTACTAAACCTGGTTTTATAGCTAGCTAAACTTCTCACATGTATGTCAGTCATATAGCATTCCATTATATTGACAACAATGTGTGAGCAGAGTCAACATTGCGTTATAATCTAATCACTATAAAAACAAATAAAAACAATAAGGCAAATAGACACTCTATAGACAAAGTACATAAGCAAAAATGAAAGACAAGAATACAAAAATGATCATAGCACAATAACACATGATGATGGGATGTATAAATACCTAGCCACGCCAAAATAATATACCAAGAATGGACTAAACAGTAAAGGTTAAAATATAGAAATAGAAATAAAAAGAACACTATAGCACGTGATTAAGATGATAATCAACGTCAGTACCTAGAACAACGTTTACGGGGCAATGACACGAAGACGGTACAAAGTATCAGGATGCTACACACAAACAAGACATAATTTGTAAATTTCATATAAAATTTTGCAGGTAACAAAAATAAAACGTTATTATTGATACTTGCCATTTCTGTAAAAAAAAAACCTGGTCACTGTCCGGAAATAAATTTTTAACCGGATTTTCGAAGGAAATATCGGTTATTGATTTGGTGATGTACGGCGGGCGGGCGGACGGGCGGCTGCCAAACAGTGTCTCTTCAATAACATGAAAACGCTGTGATGATTTTTTTTTCAAATTTAGATATGTTGTTTCTTGTGACTAAATGAAGGTCAAGTTCAATTTTCACGATTTTAGTATTTCTCCTTTTTGAGTTATCGCCATTTTTAATATTCAAAAGAGGTATTTTAAATATTTTTCTCTTGTTATCATATTATGACTAAGGGTATGGTAAATGTCTTATCTCAGAATAAAAATTGGAGTGAAGATTTATTTGAAAATTTTCTATTTCCTAAGTGGTGATGATTTTAAGCTATATTATTAGACATTTTCAGTATGATTTTCATTATAAATTAGATCTGGGAAATATCTTAGCATATGATAATCCTTGGAGTGACAGATTTATTTGAAAATTTTCTGTTTCCTGATAAGATCTGTAGGACTGTATATATAAAGTTTAAAATTTACTAGTAGGACTGTATAAATGAAGTTTGAAATTTACTGTTCATTATTAGACATTTTGTAGATAATAAAGTCTCCCTAAACCATATATATTCTTACCCCACCTCCTTCAATTTGAGAATGTGCTTTTATCTTGTAAACGGTCGAGATCCCTACCCCTATACCATATATATTCTTGTATGGGACAATAAAACAAATCAAATGAAATATTGGGGGAGTCTCCGGGTTCACCCCCACCCCCCCCCCCCCTTCTTTTTGAAAACTTGTAAACGGTCAAGATCCCCAACCTGAAACCATATATATTCTTGTATGGGACAATAAAACAAATCAATTGAAATGAAAGGCGTGTCCCTGGCGTCACACCAACCCCCTCCTGTTTGAGAACTTGTAAATGGTCGAAATCCCCACCCCGAAACCATATATATTCTTGTATGGGACAATAAAACAAATCAAATGAAATATAGGGGAAGTCCAGGGGGTCACCCCAACCCCCTCCTTTTTGAAAACTTGTAAACAGTCAAGATCCCTACTCCGAAACCATATATATTCTTGTATGGGACAATAAAACAAATCAAATGAAATAAAAGGCGAGTCCCCTGGGGTCACCGCACCCTTCCTGTTTAAGAACTTGTAAACAGTCCAGATCCCCACCCCTAAACCATATATATTCTTGTATGGGACAAAAAAACAAATCATATGAAATAAAGGGCGAGTCTCCTGGGGATCACACCCCCCCCCCCCCTTTTGAGAACTTGTAAACGGTCGAGATCACCACCGTTAAACCATATATATTCCTGTTCGTCATTTCAAGAAGATTTAAATGACATACAGGGTCAATCCATAGGCGTCACTGATGCATATCACAAACTAATTTGTACTGGACTTTGCCCAATGTCAGGCGACCATGGGAATGACGAATTATTGGAGCTTTGTTTAGGAGACTTCGTCACAGCATCCTCTTCGTAACAGCATCCTGTTACAATAATTTCTTGTTACTGATAAGTTTAATAGATTTTGAAAAGACATTGTATTAATGATAAATAAAGGTTTGGATTTTTTTCTTCTTTTCTTTGGTAAATTGTTTGAAGAATTTTGTGTCAAGTTTGTTTGTTATTCTGTAAAAACTAGTTTTCTGAATGCTATATATTTTTTTTTGATGAAGTGAACTCCTTTTAAAACTAAGCTTATATTGTCTATTAATAAACATATATTTAGATTTCTGATTTTGGGCCCAGTTTTTAAGTTGGTCCAAATCGGGGTCCAAAATTAAACTGTGTTTGATTTCAAAAGAAATTGAATATATATATGGTTCTTTGAAATGCTTAATCTAAACCTGTATTTCTTTTCATTATTAATAAGATAATACCACATTGAGGTCCAAAGGGTCCTAAATTAAACTTTTGTTTAATTTCATCAAAAATTGAATTCTTTGGTTCTTTGATATGCTGATTCTAACAATGTTTGAGTGTTAAATCATATCTAATTTTAGAGAACTTAGTCATCACTGGTTGTTGTTATTATATTATTGATAATAATTTGAAAAATTGCAACATATCTTATTTTAGAGAACTATTTATCCAGTTTGAGATATTTCCCTTTGCACAGAAAATAATGGATAAAATTAACCTGTGTTTCATTTCAACATAAATTAAATATATATAGGGTTCTTTCGAATGCTGAATCTAAACCTGTATTCAAATATTAGATTTTTGGGCCCAGTTTTCAAGTTGGTTCAAATCAGGGTCCAAATTTAAACTTTGTTTGATTCAACAAAAATTGAATTTATGGGGTTCTTTGAAATGCTGAATCTAACCATGTATTGGGAGATTTTGGATTGTGGGCTCCTTTATCAAATTGGTCAACATTGAGGTCCAAAGGGTCCTAAATTAAACTATTGTCTGATTTCATCAAACATTGAATTCTTGGGGTTCTTTGATATGCTGATTCTAATATGTACTTAGATTTTGGATATTGGACCATAATAGGTAAATGTCCAAATGTTTCAGTTCTTTGACCACATTCATTTTGTGTCACAAACCTATGCTGTGTCATATATTCAATCACAATCCAAATTCAGAGCTGTTTTAAGCTTAAATGTAGTGTCCATACTTGCTCAACTGTTCAAGGTTCGACCTCTGCAGGAAAATCCGGTTTTCTGTTACTCTGACAGCCTCTTGTTGGCAATTTGTCTTGAAATTAACATTAATTATTTCTTATTGGTACTTTTTGTGGGTAACCGTAATCAGTGCCTATACAAAACACTAATTATTTTAGGAATTTCACAAGTTCACTGTAACATATACATTCAAATTTTATCTAATTTATTCAGCACGAAGACACTTTGTCCATCAGCTTGGGACAAAATTAAGTATAATTTAAAACCACTTGTTTAGAGAACAATTGAAGGTCTTTCCACATCAATTTTCTAAATAATTATTGAGAAGCTACTTCCGATTTACTCAAAGTTACATTTGGCATTCAATCATAAGTTTCTTCATACTGGTTCAATAGATATATGGTTTCTATATACTTTTACCTGAAAGATGGGAGATAATTGCTAACTTCCTATTAAGAAAATGTCACTTCCGGTCTCAAATGATAGCTGTTTTCACATTGATTCCAAAAATATATGGTTTATATATACTTTTGCCTGTAAAAAGGAAGATAATTGGCTACTTCCGAATTAGAAAATGTCACTTCCGGTCTCATATGATAGCTTTATTCACACTGATTCCAAAAATATATGGTTTCAATATACTTTTGCCTGTTATAAGGGAGATAATTTGCTACTTCCGGTTTATAGAAGGTCACTTCCGGTCTCAAATGATAGGTTTATGTATGCCAATATAAAAAATCTATAGCTTCTAGATACTTTTCCATGAGACATGTGCAAAAATGACTTCTTCTCCACTCAAGGTCATTTCCGGTTGATATTTTTCAAGGTCATATGTCACTCAACATTTTGCAAAAGACCTTATGGCTTTATCATGTACCAATCAGAAGTAATAATTGATTTACTTTAAAATAAAACATTTCAGGGGCAACAACTCCTATAGTATGTCAT